GGACAAGTAAAACTGCAACTGAACATCATTATGGTTTAGACGTGGTTTTCAATCAACTTAATATTTATATTTTAAAATGAAGTGTAAACACCCCATGTAGAGAATCTCAGGCATTTCCTGAATCCATCATTTTGAAGATTTTGAAATTCTAAGGCTTTCTCTTTGCTGCAATGTTTTCGCTGCAAATCTACTTTTTTTTTTTTTTTCTTGCATATACCCAATACTCTGACTTCAATACACAAGTTATTTTTTTTAGATAGATCTCCAAATATCTCAGACCAAAGGGACATAATCTTGTGACAATCTACAAAACAGTGAGCTAAGGTCGCCTCATCAAATCCACATTTAGCACAAAGGAGTGAAATACTTGAGAAAGGTTTAGTCCTGATCTTGTTTTAGTTGTGATATTGTGCACCCAAGTCCTCCATGCTCTCCAAACTTTAATAATAATTAGTCCTTGTTTAATACAGGTTTAGTCCTGGTTTAGGTTTAGAATACACTTTGTTTAGATCTGTTTCGGTCCTTGCAATTTCTGCTTATTTGTTCCTGTCACATTTTCTCCTCAGTAATAGTTTGGCATTTTCATCCTTAATTAATTCTAGTGTTGTCACATTACTGAAATTTTAAACTAAATTTTGATATTAAGGGAAAGGCTCAAAAAAGTGACAGGTGACTGTATCCAATTTTTATCCATATAACTGACCAAAATACAAACTTTCCCCAGTATATATTGTTTAAGCAGCTCCTATGGTAGAAATGGTTGATGTGTGCTGTTTCTGTTTTATCATCTGAGAATCAGGAAGTGTGCTGTCAGCATGCTAATTGTTGTTAGCATTACTGTGATGGTGTTATATATAATAACTTTTGACCACCTTTGTGTTTTTCACATTTTGAAGACAGTATAAAGTACATGCACTGCTTTTAATATTACTATATGGACTTTATCCATCAATACCTGGATATCGATTTTCTTGATAAATTATATAAGGAATGAAAAAGGGTTAACACCCATTTAAGCTAACCTTCGCCCTAACAGATCTCACATGGAACACCAAATATTTTCCGAAACGTGGCTTGGTGTGAAAAGTTTGAGCGCCGCTTGTCTTCTGTGTTCGGGAGTGTGGAGAAGGGAATGAGTGCCGACAGCGCCTGCCCGCCGCACCACTGTGCCTGGTGTCCGACAGATGTGCAACTTGGCAGCCCCTCTCTTCAAAAACACCAAGTCCTCGGATTCCAGGGTGCCATGGAGACCGCCCCCCTCCGACCCCATTCTCTACCCCCACAAACTGTCTGCTTCCTCCCTCATCACCTCCGCACGAGAGGGGAGGCACCATGGTAATCTCGTGTCCCTCGGATGTGAAGTCTCCGGCGGCGGTGCCCCCTTGCGTTTACCCCCCGCCTCCGGGGCCTGATGGGTAAATTGGAATGGCGCACCCTGCTGGCCTGACGAGAGCGCGGAGCAGACAGCAGTGGATGCACACACGCTGAGACCCCTCCCACCTCGCGCGCACTGTCTAATGTAGTGGACATGTATGCGCCAAGACAAGCTGAGGCATCTGTGTCAACGGGATTTAGCACATGGATTTGATTTCACGATACTCAGGTTTTGAGCGATGTCCTATTGATATATGACTAATAACACAATTCATCTACTTTTCTGTTGGAGGGTACGCCACTTGCTTTTCTACTTGAAGGTGCTATTACTGTACTGGCCATGTTTTACAGTATGTCATTAAACTTATAATATATCTCTAGATCTGTAAAGAGGTTATACCCTGCTCACAGCAAATGGCTTCTTTTTCAAGGCATTTGCATTTGTAAACATTAAAGAAAAGTTGAATGCCTTATTGTGGAACATTCCAGGCAAGGCAAGAACATCTCTATGAAGACAAGCAAGCAGGACACACACTGTCACAAAGTTACACAGTGCATTTTTAATGTTTTAAAATGATTATGTATACCTAGAATTTATAATTTTCAGTCAACAGAGAGCTGATTGTTGCTCCTGTTCCATGAAATTAATAGCCATAATACAAAAAACAACAACTTAAAAATGTCCAGATAACTCATATATGTATTTTAGTTTTGATCTTACCACATTCGTACTGCATGCACTGAGAATATTACCAGTAATCCTTTCTCACAAACAATGCGTCTATCTTGTTTGTATCTTATGCTTGTTCTCTGTGATAGATAAAAGAAAAATACATGCGAAATGAGAAACTGCATCTTCTTAAAAAGAACAGAAAGAACCACTTTTGCTTTTCGGAATATCTTAAAATCCTGTGTAATAATGTGTCCAAAATTCCAAGCACATCTATTGGCCTGATCTCATAGCTCTCATTTACATAGAGATTGAATGTAGGATGAATAAACAGATAGCAGGAAACAGTAGTGATATAGGCCTAGCGCTTGTTCAAATTTGAATGTGCCTCATCTGGAACGACCCAGCTTGGTGCCTTTTGTACAAAACGCACCTGATTTCTGTTGCCATAGTTTCTATTAAGCCCTAAAAGGAGAAACATGCTTCGCTAGCTGCACCATCTCAACACACGCGTTTACCTTCATGTCAGCCACAAGACATTACCATCAATGATATAGGCCTATTGAGGTAAGATACAGTTTAGGAAACATAAAGATGGCGTTCCTTAGTAAAAGATGTTTAAGCCATGTTAGAATGTTGTTGCCTCCTCAAAAACTTACCTGGAATTTTAGTTTTGTTTCGTTTCATTCACATATGTTTGAGTAATCCATTATTATTAGTCTGTCTGCGTCTCCAAAGCTCAAAATGCTCTGCTCCACCTCATGATGTTACCATTTACTACCCAGGGAAGCACATGACATCACAAGTTGGAACAGAGTGTTTTCTGTTGAGAAAAGAAGTCAACCTAAACCTGCAAGGTTTGTGTGTTAAACTTGTGTGATTGAAGCAAAACACAACTCCAGGCAGGTTTATGATGAGGAAACAACATTGTAACACAGATCAGAAAATAGCATAATATGAGCCCTGTAAACAGTTAAACTCTTAGTTGTTCATTTTAGCATAAAACACCTACTAATCTAATGCATGTAGCTTATAGGCTAATTATACAACAACAAATGCTAATTGTTTACACTCTTAGCTATGTTTATGGGGCTTAATGAAGTCAATCATCTCTAATAATTCCTTACAGCAGACTCAGTGGATAATGCCTATTCCTCAGATAATATTGGCTATTAGGTTTGTTAATCATATAGCACATGTACATTATGTTTATACAATACATTTGAACTATTTTATGGTAAAAACCCTGTAGGCCCAGATAATAGTGATGTTTCTTTGTTTCAATCTAAAACTAAGTAACTTTCATTGGCTATGAGTAAATAAGGGTATTGTAATATTGCATGTATGAAAATGTATTGCCATTTGCTGGTTGGGGTGATAGGTTGGCAAAAATGACTAGTTAAAGGTGCTATAATATGCAAAATTGACTCCTGTCAGCTTTAAGACATGTTATAATGTTTGTTAAAAAACCTTATATCAGGAGTTGTATTTTGTTTCATTCACACATGTTTGAGGAATCCTAGTTTATTAGTCTGCCTAAATAATACTATGGCAAATACTAAATAAAATATCATTGTGATACCAATGCTTTTTTTAAAAATAAAAATGTTCTAACACTCTACTCTAGGGCATTTTTTATGTTTATGTATATATACACACTATTCTCTTTGTTCCACCCCAGTTTGAACAGATCTTAAAATGAAATATGTGTGCAGCTAAAATAAAAATAGTGTTAAAAAAAGGGCAATACATAAATACATATATACATAAATAAATAAATGCAGAAAAACTAAACAAAACAAAAATGATTGCTGTTTTTGCCTGACAATCAGCAGCAGCTAATGCAAAGGTGATAGTGATCTTGAGTTCATGTCACCATTCTGTAAAAGCCACTGTTTACTCTAAAACGGTTTCATGTATCATAACAGCAGACGCATATTCTTCGAGTGTGTATATTTTGCCCCTCGCGTTACTGTAAATGCATGAGCCGTCCAGTCCACCCCAGAACGGATAGCGGGCGTCCTGGAACAGTCAGCGGGACCTGCAGGGGCTAAAGATCAGGCCTGGAGAAACCACGGGGGCCCTGGCTGTCAAAGGCAGAGTTATCTAGGGGCCGTAGGGGGGTCTGAAACATGACATACATTTCATTACATTTAAACCAACTGTGGGTTCAACTCGGAGCCCTGGATCTGTGCACGGGCGTCTCGGAGGAGGGAGAGAGTGGAGGTGCCAGAGAAGAGCTGCCACAAAGAACACAATGGTGGAGTGGACAAAGGGGCCACCACTGGACTAATTGCTCGGGGATGAAGAGGAATATTTGAAGTACTTATGTGTTAAGCTCAGTTTTCATTTAACTTTCATTTGCTATGAGTAAGTAAGGGTATTATAATTTTGCATGTATGACAAAGTATTGCCAATTGCTGGTTGGGATGATAGGTTGGCAAAAAATGGCTATTTAAAGGTGCTATATTACACAAAATTGATTCTTGTGAGCTTTAAGACATGTTATAATGTTTGTTAAAACCTTACCAGGAGTTGTGTTTTGTTTCATTCACACATGTTTGAGTTATCCTGGTTTATTCTACATTTCCGAAGCTGAAAATGTGATGTCATGAAGCTGTAGTTTTCAAGTTAACATCTCGTTTTACCTTTAGTTCAGTAGAGATTCCTGGACTGAAGCAACATTCTAACATAGATCAGAAAATAGCGTAATATGGGCCCTTTAATAATGGGCTAGTTAAAATGAAACCTAATTACGTTTAATGGGAGCTTGGAAGACGAAAGAGGAAAATATACTACCCCCCAACCTAACAAATTTTTAAACTAATTTATCTGTGTAAAATAACAACAGAAAACTCAAGGGCTCAGAAGTGAATCAGTGTAAATAAGGCTAAAACAGTAGGTGCGAGCATTGCAGTCAGTGTAGCATTACTTAGGGAAAGTTAAAAGCACATACTTTCTGGATCACCACCTGATGACATCATCCAGTGGGGCCAAGCATTTTCAGCTAAGGAGAGGGAAGACAGCCAAATGATTACTCAAAGATGTGATATGGAAAAAAAAAGCAATTCCAGGTAAGGTTTTATTTTATGAGGATGACGAAGCAGCATTAGAACATAGTGAGAATCTAAAAAAGTCTGTGTGAGGAGGTTTAAACAGGCTGTACTCGATTTATTTATTTTTTTCATGTAATAAAGTAAAATGTGCTTTGCGCCATCACAGATATATTGTAAAAGAAGCTAGTAAGTCAAAGTAAGGCTGCTGTGTGCTCTCTGGATCTAATAACAAACCCTATTTATCTGCAGCAAATCAGGACGTATGGCTGGTGCAGGATTAGCATGCTAGTTACTGTGTGCTTTGTCCTCGAAATGTTGTGAAACATGATTATAGATTCATCATGGCGAATAACTGGGATGCGTTAACATGTGAGGAATGCGTTTGGACAGCTGCAAATAGTCTAAATAAAATGAAGTTCTGTTTACCACATTTTTAAAACAGAAAAATCCAGTTACAATTGGCAAAAACAACATTTCTAACTATTAACTAAATATCTTCTGCGGTCGCATTATTGTGGACTCGATGCTCTCTCCATCCAGGCTGCACACGTGGACATCTGTATTTAACTCCCGTACATTGACACATGGAGTTGTTGTGAGACATGGTGGACATGAGAGGGGAATGGTCCTTATCTGACATGGAGTGTGGTCTATTCAGTCAGAGAGAGGGAGAGAGAAAGAGGGAGAGAGAAAGGGAGGGAGAGAGAGAGAGCGCACTTGTCTATTAACACACTCCAGGACGGTTCTCTGGAGAGGCACTCAGACACAGCGCTCGGGCGAAGGGTAGAAGAGCAGTATCGGTCAGTCCAGAAGAAGTCGAATCAGAGTAGAGCACTCGGGTTATCAATGTACGGTTTAACTTGTAAGTTAGTTTGTTAAAAGGCAGTGCTGAAAGAACTGAAATGTAAGGGAAAGTCTGGGGAGTAGCATATGGTGTGAAGTAGATTTTTACAGCAGCGAGATAAAGTTTTAACTCCAGCCACAAGGGGTCAATAAAGATTCAAATGGTTACTTTTATTTTTATACTCTTCTTATAGATAGTTATATGAGTTTTCGTGGGAAGTCAAAAAAGTTGCATACTTGTGTGAAATGGATATTTACAACTGCGAGATAGGGTTCTAACATCAGTCACAAGGGGTTAGCAACATAACAAGTGATGGAAAGTAATGCCATACATTTCTTTAATCATACTTTTTTGACAGCAACTTAAATTTCAGATAAAAAAATTTATTAAAAAGAATAATATTCATGTTTCTTGCCATTTTCCACTTACTGTCTTTCTCTCTTGTATTATCTGAGTAATATCATTTAGAATGTTTAGTATTTTCTTGAACAAAAAACATAAAAAAAGCTCTATTCAGCACCACATCTAGGTGTGTTTATCGTTGCTAGACAGGACCAAAACTGTAGGCGCTTCTAGTCTTCTCCAGTGATCATTTCTGCCTTATGATAAATATAAAACATAACCTACTTCGCATAACAAAGAAATGTCTTTTGAAATTCCCTTGGAGTATTATTAAAGCGGCTATAGAATTACAAAACGCTATTATTGCTGCTCGCTTGGGGGGAGCCCTTGCTCATTAGGCTCCTAAGATGTCTCTGGTTTTGATTATCCCATCCTCTCCCTTCTCTTGTTCTAGTGACAAACTCCAGCTATTTTGTTGCCAATCTCCTTCCAGCTGTCATATCTATCTTAAAGATCACAAAAACCTTCAGACACGCTCACGATACGTCTTCAAATTTGCTAGACGGTTTGATTCCCCCATTGAATTTGCGGGATTAACTTGAGGAAGAAATGTCTCAGATTTCTTAAAGGCGTCTGCTGCGTCTGACTTCAGAGCGTGCGATGGTGTGAGTGTGTGGTGGTATTGTCCAGGGGAGGGAACCCTCACTCCAACCGTCAGCGCGGCTCCAAGTGGGACAGGCATGATTAAAACGCACCGAGGCAGTGACTGACAGACTCCCCATCGCCTCCACAAGATGACATGTCTCCAAGTGCAGCGCAAAAGCAACTCCTCTAATTTTAACTCCGACCCCCTCCGTCAAAACCCACAAAAACAGGCATGCTGTGGTTCTTAACCACAATAAAAGTGATAACAACTAAACAGAGGAATAAGTTTAAACACAACAATGGGGAGGGAAGAGACAAAAGGGCTGAGAAGGCGCCATTTCCCTCCGGTGAACGCACACAGCAGGAACCTGTGAGCTTGTGACAACACCTTCAAACAATTCTGTTACTTTCACACAAATATCTGCTGCTGATGCTCTCAAGCACTGCTGTCCCACTGCACATCCGCGTGCCAAGTTCCTGCTTAAAGGGAACAAACTCTCCAAGTAAGTGTGCCTGACATTTGTCATGCAGCATACAGTTAGCATACAGGAGAGAGTGAGGTGAGCTACCAGGATATATAGGTGAACCATGTGTGAAAGCATGTGTGAACAAAATCATTTGGTTTGTCTGTGCTTCTTGTGATTCTCATTTCTTGACAATGAGGAGGACAGAGGGGGGTTTCCTGTTATTGTCAGGATCGTGTACTAAATGATTCACACAAACGGGATCTTTTACGTTGGCGTCAGCACTTCAGCTGGGCGCCCTTGTGGGGGAATTCTTTTTGTGTGTTTTTATTGAAGTCTGCACAGAGTGCGCCCAAACGCTCTGACAGGGGGCCCCCGAGGGCGCTTGTCTTCACCTCCGAATCATAAGATAGAGAGACCATGCTCCCTGTGTGCACTCAATTATACCCCTCCATACCCCCCCACGCTCTACCCTGCCCTCCCTGCCCCAAAAACTAAAACAGAGGAAGAGGAAAGGCTTCAGTAATGCAGTCCCAGCGGAGGCCAGTGTGATCAGCCCGCGCTGCTGGCACGGCTGACAGGCTCGACGTGGCAGTGCGCTCCCTGTAGTCTGTCAGAGTGGAGCTACAGCATGACGGTTAGTACGCCTCCTCCCGGGACACGCTTTCTCTGCTTACCCCCAGCGGCCCTGCCATGACAGGCCCCTCCTCTGACCCAAAGAGAACCAAAGCTTTGGCCCAATTACTCCCTGCTAGGTGGGTTAGAGCGCGATGATACCAGCAGGACACACGGAGCGAGATGCAGAGGAAAGTCGAATTCTCAACTGTTACTGGACAAAAGTTTGGTTACTTATGATAAGGTGTTACAAGTCTATCCCTCACATAACCTGCAGCATTATGTAAGATCCAATCAAGATGGCGATGCTAATACACTACAGCAACAACAGCTAGTTCCCCATGTGCTACAGCCTTGAGTGCCTCCCCAGTGAGCAGCCCTGTGACTCCTGGCGCGGGGCTGCGGGGAGAGCGCGTCTGTAATTCGATCAGCGGGCACAGCTGCACAAACAGGGCTTCGGCGGTATTTCTCTGGGCTCCACGGAATTGACTTTGCATGAATGGCCCCTCTCTTCGCCCCCAAAATGCTCCGTTTTCCACATGTCTACGAGTACACGACAACCTCTGCGCCTTATTATCCTGGAAGAGCTCTCCGTCCTCTCTCGCTAAAGACCTCGTCCAAAACCCTGCTGCCTGACCTGTCAAAACCAAGCAATCCTCTGGAAAAAAATAGAAAAAATCACAAACAAAATAAAGCAACAACCGCTGGCAGGGTCAGGGGGCATGCAGTCTGGGGGCCTGGACTCTGGCGGGGCTCTGTGATTGGTGGAAAGGGCACGAAGTAGAAGGGGAATCTTTTCAAAGTGAAATCTCCAGCTGATGGCTTATAGAGCTCCACGCAGTTTGTTTCTCTTGCTGCTGTCAGGAGTTTTCGCCATTTGGAAGGATTAGAAAAAGTGAGTGAAAAAAAGAGAGGGAGACGAGAAACTGGACGGGCAAACAGCGTCGGGTCTGAGCGATGGACCCCTCAGAGGGTGATAAACCTACGACCTTGACGCCCCCCACGGTGACCCTTGAACTGCGACCTCTGGCTCGGTGCCGCGGACAGGTGCAGGGAGAGGGAGAGTGACCACACCGCGCAGTACGTAGCAGCCAAATAAGCTCTGACCCTGTCCTGATGGTCCAGCTTCTCCAGGAATAACTGAGAGAGAAATGGAAAAGTGGAGGAGTTGTAATAGAGACTGACAAATAATTAAGATAAATATCAGAGTGGTTTTAACAGATGGGTACTGGATTTGGGTTTTCCTGACCAAGTTGTAAAATAGAGTTGGAAAAGTAGATTATATTTTTGGACTTGTATTCTCAATGTAAACTAGTGATGATGTAAAATGGAAGGAAAAATATTGTAAGACTCTTTTGTTTATTGTAGAGATCATGCAAATGGGAAAGAGCTGTTACAGTCTGATAAAAAAATATAAAAGTCTACAACTCAACTTAATGATCCTATATTACGCAACACTCACTCTTGTGAGCTTTAAGCCATGTTATAATGTTGTTACCTTCTCAAAAACATACCTGGAGTTACTAAAGAACTAAAGGTTCAACTCCATCCATTCTGGTGAAGGTGTGTAGAGTTTAAAAACACAGTGGAGCACTTCCTGTATTGCCACATGACATCACAAGGTGGAACAGAGTATTTTCATTTGAGAGAAGAACTCCTAAATATGCAAGATTTGTGTGTTAAACATGTATGAATCAAACAAAACATTACAAATGTTTTTGATGAAGAAACAACATTATAACTAGGGACGGGCATGTGATTAAATTTTCTTAATTGATCGTCGGGAGAATTAACGATCAATTTTCGATTAATCATTAACATTTTTATAGTAAAATTATTATTATTACTATTAATAATCTGCATAAATAAACTTAACTTTACAACATATAAACCATAACCACTATGGAGCCACATCAGCCCATTTGAGATTATAATGTGTTTAATGTAGCTTTGTGCACATTTGTTTACGTTTTACAGAAACTGCATGGCTAATTTGCATAAACAAAAGTGCTTTTAGCTCTTAGTGCAGCTTGATATTTAA